TTATTTTTTAACTTTCTAAATGATTTATCCCACAGTCTTCAGAAAAGTTGAGAATAATGTTTCATGTACAACTTAGCCAGAGGAGAGGAAGAAACTGTAATAGGGAGATAACTGAAGTTTTAAGTGTAGAGGAATTATGCATTTCCCCTAATGAAATTGGACTGCCTAGTTCCCTTTTGTTTAGTCTGAACACAGCTTAGTTTTTTGTTGGCTTCTTGATTCTTTGGCTACAGGAAAGGGAGAATAGGAAAACAAATACAGGATCCTTTTGCAATTCTATTAGAGTAATCCTCTTTGATTCAAACAGTGTTCCACCATTACAGCCTTTAACTTTAGAACAGGCAACTGCAAAGAACAACAAAAGGGGAGTAAGAAGTGGAAGCAGAGAAAGAACAATCATGGATTTTACCTCAATTTGTTAAACTTGTTGCTTTCCACTGCTCCCTGCTGGCACTTTGGTGGACATCATCAATGCAGTCATGGGCATTGACTGGCAGGGTCAGTCACTTTCCATCTTGCAAAATATTGTCAAGTCATAGAAACTTACAACTTAAACTCCTGTAAACGTCCTGACCACAAATGTGCCTTGTATGTTAGGAATGAAAGCTGGACTTGATTTTTTTTTTTTTAACACTGTTGCATGTGCTAGCAGCTTCTTGTCCTTCGTTCTTTCATCCTGGAATGATGAAACCCTGTGGTCTGTAGTCTCTGCAGTCCGTCTAGGTGATGTTAGGCTGGTCTTACTGCCCTTCCCTCCTTCTGCCTCAGCTGCTAATGTTGCTACATAAAGTTTGTATTATAGAAGAATAGATTTTCTAAAAGTCTTCAAACAGGTGATCATCTGGTGGGTACTTCAGAGATTGCAACCTTGCTTTCTGTCAAAGCAGTAGTTTGTATTAGGATTTTTTGTCACTGCAACAGTGCTGTGGGTCCATGCAGCCTGTGAAGTGGGATGCAGTGGGGCTGTAAGTGTTCAGGGAGCAAAGGATCACCTTTGGCAGGAATGGACTTCAATTTATGTGGTAAAATTTAGGCGGTCATACTACCCTTTGACAGCACAGTTCTATGGAGGATAATGTGATTGCACACCGTATTTATCTCCCCTTCTTCCCTGGTCCTTCCTGCTAGTTAACTCCTCCTTTCTTGCAAGGAGCCTCAAGGACTGGAAAGCATTACAGATGGCATGCAAAGTGCATATTCAAGCTACCTATTTGATATTTTAGCAGTCTTCTCTCTCATTCAGAATTCAGCACAGCTTACAAAAGTGTTATATCAATGTTTTTTCACAGCCTCTGTGTGTTCTGTCTGTATCCCAATTACACTAGATGATGTGAAATATTCTGTTGAAGTGTGCCTCAGCTGGAAGATAGTGTTGTTAAAAGTCACAGTACCTTAACTCACATACCTCCAAGCATAAGCCACCTAAGAACTAAGTATTCTTCTGCTATGACAGAGCTCTTAGCACAATATACACAAGGAGGAGCAAAAGCCTACTTAGAGACAACTATCTCCTTGATGCTAATAAATTTGTAAGACAACTGAGAAAGCAGTTTTGCTGTCCTAGGCTGTTACTGACAGACCATGCTTCTCCTCACTATTGGAATGTTGGTGGGCTTATGCTGCTAATTGAGCTAAACCTGCTGGATTGTGTACAAAAGCAGTCCAGCAGGTTACATTTGGAAAAGCAGCTTGCACAGAGCTCCTTGCTACCCTAGTACTCATTCTTTGGGGTTGATTGTTTTGCCACAGAGTGCTAAAGAGGAACAATTAGGAAAAAAAGTAAGTACAGCTGTAATGCAGTCAACCTGAGAAGACCATCTATATTTTGGTAATGTCTGCCTTTACTAGGTCTTACAAAGCTGCTACAGCACTGAAGTACTGGAATTCAGTGGATTTTAGTGTGACTGGTGTTAAAGCAAGAGATGTTGGAAATTGAGAATGTACAAGGCAGCTTTGTTCTGTCTTGGTGTTTATGATTCCTTTATGGTCTGAGTGAGTAGAGAGGCAGCCCAACAGATGAAGTTTGCATCTGAGAGCTGATTTATTTTTCTTGCAACAGTGGGGGGGGGGGGGGGGGGGGGGCAAATAGAAGGAAATTCCCTTGGAATACTCTTGCCAAGTCTGTGCTTGCAGGACAATTAGAGCCCCAGATTTATTTCAGCTGACCCAGCACGTATGGTTGGTGTCATGCATATTATCAAAGCTAGGTGGCCTAGCAGTGCTACAAAGTTGCATGAATTTATGTTTCATGGTGTTGCCTAAGTGCCTTGCACAAGCAGTTGTCAAAGTATGGTAACCTCAGCCTTCATTAGTGTATCATATGATTTCATGAGCCAGGGAGGTATGGCTGAACTGAGATGATGTGGATGCTTCCTGTGCCAGGATTCTGGATGATAATCAGAGAGAGCAGGCAAACATCTTAGGAATTCCAGTCCTGCTAAGGTAGCTTACAGGAAGTGGTATAAACTCAGAAATGGCTATATCTTCCTTCCTCCTAAAGTCACAGCCATTGAACTAATTCCCTTTAGTTGTATTAGCATGCTGCAGTTTTCAGTATGAGCTCTCAACATGTTTGTAATGGCAAAGATCGATTTATCATCACCTCATGAGTCAATGTATTTGTATTAACTTGTAGATTTCCCTAATTTTCTGTATGGAAGTGCTGAAGAGAGCTATGTTGCTTCTCTTGGTAACTCATAAGAGCTCTTCCTTGGTGTTCCTCATGAAAAGGAGTGTCTCTTCAGCAGATAGTAAGAAGCTTGTATTCCTATCTGTTGTCTTTCTGATGTTGGTTCTAAGATGCTCTGCTACTTTTTCCATTTCTGCTTCTCCAGTTGTGGGCTTTCAGGAAACAAAGCACAAGCCAAGGTATGGACAAGGGGAATCTTACATGTAAAAACTCATGTTTTATTCTTCTATCTCAGCAAAAGCAGAATATTGCTTCTGGCAATATAGAATTTCCTTGAGGCTTTTGAAAACATGCTAGTCTTCAAATGATAGCCAGCTCTTTTCCAAAAGGGAGAGAAGCCAATAGTTATGTTAATAAATGTCATAAAAACCAGGCAGAGGATGTGTTTCTGTTCTCTCCTGTCATCCTGGTCAACGTATACAGTTTTGAAAATCTGGGCACTCCCTTAACTTCCTGGGGAGATTTTTGTAATTTCTGCTTGTCCACAGGTGAATCTATGGGTTTGCCTGGTATTTTGGCCAGGAAAAATACCCCAGACTTATTCCTAACCTGTTCTTTCTCCTGCACAGTGTTTATTCTGCTGTTCATTGACCAGCTTCTGTGACTGAATGCCAGCCTGCCTCTCAGCTAAGAATTAAATGATAGAGATAGTTTCAAGGAAAACCTTGGGAAAATTGTTGTGCAGCTTATTTGCCTCTCCCTTCTGTGAGTGTTTACATGTTGTAAGGATTCATGGATCTCTGGATAGGGACCATCTTTCTATATTCTAAGGTAATTTGTAAAAGCTATCAGAGAAAGTTAATGAGGATCTCTGTTCTCCATCTAAGTGCCAGTTCTTGCTTTCTGCATGTTATAGATTCCTCATCACTAATGATTTAATTTACCATGGTGGTAGGGTGGGGGGGTTACTTTTCAGGCTCTATAGCTGTGTTTTAAAGGCAAAACTGGTCATACCAGAAAGTGAAAAGAATTTTCTCCCTTCTAGTTACCAACAAAGAAATTTTTAGTGACCATTTAAATATAGATCCTACTAGTTTCTTAAACAAGGTTGGTGACAGTCTTAGAGTACATTTTATAAGGTGCTGGAGTTTGTATTTCCCCATCAGCTAGAATACTCCAAATTCACACAGAGAATCTGGCTGCCTGCAGCATGAAACTGTTCCTCTTTCCTTCCTGGGGAAGGAATTTAGGCAGCAGCTGGGTATGTCTCCTGGAACAAGTCAGAGCAACCAGTGCCAGTGTACCATGTCTGACTACCTATCCACTAATTTCCATGCACTGAAATGCTTTATTCTTGTAAGCAAAAAGGCTTAAGTCTCAAGCCTCATTTCAGCATCTTTTCAGCTTTCTCTGTTGGCATGCTCATCATATGGAGAAAAGACAGGCTAGCTTAGAAAGAGTTTCTTCCCTGGTTCTCAATATCACTGAGGAAAAACCCCTTTCCTACTGCTGCTGCAGAGCACTAGACACTGCTTAAATGGTATGACATAATGGTGCTTGTTCAGTGATGGCTTGATGTTGAAAGTCAGCATTCTCTATTTTTGCATCTATAGCTGTTGCTGTTCCTCCTCTTTTTCTTCTCTTCCTCTCTGATATTGTTGTTTCCCATAGAAATAAAATGAGTCAAACAGCATCAAGCTTGTAATATCACGAGTAAGAAGTGAAGCAAACTGAAGTTGCCAAATCTGTAGTGTTGCTTTTAATGATTTGTGGTGTTTGTCTGCTGTGGAACTCTTATGTGTAAATCAGCCACGTGAAAAGCATTAAAAAGGCTGAAAATACAGCACAGGTGTACAGATACAGGGAGATGTTGTATCTTGCCAAGGACATTTCCAAATAACGAATGTCTCTTTCATTAAATTAATTTGTTCCCTTTCTGAAGTCTAGATGTTGCTGTCACAAAAACTATCATGGCAGCTGACACTCATGGCTCTCCTGCTGGTAACTTGAATGGGAACCCAAGGGTCAGAAGGACCAAGGGTATTGCTTCTTACCCTCTAAAGGGGATTGTTCCAGGATTAGACAGAGTTTCAGCAACTGGTGTGAGGAGAACCAGAGCTACTGAGAGTATCAGAGTCCAAGATTCTCTTGGCACCACTTGTTAATGCTAAAGGACACCTTCAGAAAAAGTTTATCTCTCTCAATAGAGCTCAGCTAAAAGGAGGAGGTTGGAAGACCTGTGTTTTTTGCCTTCTTTAAATATGACATAACACTTGCCTGATTTGATGAGCAGCTCTTGCTCCTCAGCATATGCTTGACAGTGTTGGTGAGAGCACCCATTTTTCGGGGGCCTGTGCTTCCTCTGTTCCAGGTTCTCTGAGCCAGACCCCAGCCACACACTAGAGGAGCGAGTGGTACACTGGTATTTCAGCCAGCTGGACAACAACAGCAGTGATGATATCAACAAGCGGGAGCTAAAGCCTTTCAAACGTTATGTAAAGAAGAAAGCCAAGCCCAAGAAATGTGCCCGACGTTTCACTGACTACTGTGATCTCAACAAGGACAAGTCGATCTCGCTTCAGGAACTGAAAGGGTGTTTGGGAGTCAGCAAGGAAGGAGGTGAGTGCCTTTTCTTCCCCGTTGCATGACAATAAAAACTGACACGGAGTTATGACAAACTCAGGAATCTGTTTTCTTCCAACTGTTTCAAAAGCGCCAGAGTTTGTGTGAGAAAATGAGTGGGATTAATACCTTGCCATGCAAATGTAGTTCGTTATTTGTGTTATGGCTCCATCTTATATCCCTTATCACAGACCTTTGTGCTAAGACTATACAGAAACAGGGCAACAGATAAGCCTTGACCAGAACTCTGCTTTGTACTGTAGAAGTCCTTGGAAACTGTAGTTCAGATCAGATCAAGACCCTTCTGAGTAATACCCTGCTAACAGTATTAGGTTGTCTCAACCATGGAGGTTGACAGACCCGGCCTTCTCTGGAGACCTTGTTGACTAACAGATATAATACTTACTTTCATTGCTAAATTCAGCATGGAGGAAAGTGGATGATGGGGAGAGAACAACTTAGAAAGAAAGTACAGGGATATACTGTTTCCCTTTTTCAGAGTTAAATTGTACTTCAAGATTGGGGGAGAAATAAGGCATGTGAATAATCTATTTTCCTTTTTGTTTAGTGCCTGAGCAATCAACCCACCCTCCTGCCTTTTCTTGCTTTTTCACCTTCACCTCATCATCTGTTGGGACCTGAACCAAATGGGTATTTTTGGAAATTTTATGAATTGAAACTGTTCAACCCAAATTCAATAATTATCAGTCATTCTTGACTGTGGGCAGACTTGCTTGGCAGGAGAAGGCAAACAGGGGGATTCCAGGGGACTAATATCCTGTGCAGGTGTTTTGTCTGTGCAGACAGCTCTTGTTATAACTGTCGTGCTAGTTGGGAAGGGTGGGTAGCTTTCTCTGTCTCATCTTAACATTTCCTTAGGTCTTTTCTCAGGTTTAGCACAAGTGGGAAGGGAGTCAGTACATTTGGGTGTTGGGAAATTGCATTTTCTAGGTGCTTTGTAAACATCTTAGTTACCATAATAGGCATGTTGCATTACTTGTCAGCTGTTAGAAGCATTCAGCTTCTGTAGCCCAGTGGAAGTTTTTTTATAGTCATCAGTACCTTACTGAGGAATGACATACCAAAATAGCAATCCTTAATTTTTTTACCTTCCCAATAAGATGGATATGCCAAATGAGTTTTATTGCTATTTGGCCTGGAATAAGGCTCTCTGGAATCTGCTGCCTTGGCCAACTGACTGTTCAAAATTTAGTTTATGGAAGGGGAAAAAAATCAAATGTGGAGAAGAAAGAAAATGTGAAACTTTGAGCCCATATGAAGGGGAAAGAAAGCAGAGAGACGTTGTGAGTGCCTAATTGTCCAACTGTTTGTTGGGAACGCAGCCTTGACCTTTCATGTTTTCTTCTGTTGTATGAGGACAGGACTGTGGTCAAAAAGGGGCTCTGATCTTGTTTTGTCATACAGCTCCACTTACCTTCTACAGGCCTGATAAGCCTTGAGGATCAAAGATAAATGGGTAAGTTAAAGGATGGTGAGGACTAAAAAGTGGTGGAGGGGGCAGTGCAGGGAGCAGGTACTACTGTGTAGGAAAGAACTCAGGGAAATACTCTAGAGGTGCAGTAAGCACGTTTGTGATGGATCTTTTTTAAGAAATCATTAAGTTTTCTATGCTTTCTATTCATAAGAACTTCTAAATTTAGAAACAGTCGATATCTTTGACATGGTCTCCCACAAATCCTTCTCTCTAAATTGGAGAGAAGTGGATTTGATGGGTGGACTGTTTGGTGGATAAGGAATTGGTTGGATGGTCACATCCAGAGGGTAGTGGTCAACGGGTCAGAGTCTGATGGGCATCAGTGACCAGTGGTGTTGCTCAAGGGTCTGTATTGGGACCAGTGTTATTTAATATCTTCATTAGTGACACAGACAAAGGGATCAAGTGCACCCTCAGCAGATTTGCAGACAACACCAAGATGAGTGGTGTGGTTGACACACCTAAGAACAGGACGGCATCAAGAAGTGGGCCCATGGGAATCTCACAAGGTTTAATAAGACCAAGTGCAAGGTGCTGCACCTGTGTCGAGCAGCCCCCAGTATCAGTACAGGCTGGGAGATGAACAGATGGAGAGCAGCCCTGTCGAGAAGGGCTGTGGGAGTGCTGGTGGATGAGAGGCTGGACATGAGCTGACAATGTGCACTTGCAGTCCAGAAAGCCGATCGTGTCCTGGGCTGCATCAAAAACAGCGTGGCCAGCAGGGTGAGGGAGGGAATTCTGCTCTTTCATTCTGCTCTGGTGAGACTCCACCTGGAGTACTGCATCCAGGTTTGGAGTCTCCAGGACAAGAAGGACGCAGACCTGTTGGAGCGAGCCCAGAGGAGGGCCACAATGTTGATTGGAGGGATGGAGCACCACTCCTACAAGGAAAGGGTGAGAGAATTGGGATTGTTCAGTCTGGAAAAGTGAAGGCTTTGGGGTGACTTAATTGCATCCCTCTGGTACCTGAAGGGAGCCTACAAGAAAGAAGGAGAGGAATTTTTTACAAGAGCATTTAGTGATGGAACAAGGGGAAATGGCTTGAAACTGAAAGAGAGTACCTTTAGATTAGGTATGAGGAAAAAATTCCTTACTGTGAGAGTGGTGAGGCACTGGAACAGGTTGCACAGAGAAGTGGTGGGTGCTCTGTCCCTGGAGGCCAGGTTGGATGGAGCTCTGAGCAGCCTGGTCTAGTGAAAGGGTTCCCTGCCCATGGCAGAGAGGTTGGAACTAGATGATCTTTAAGGTCCCTTCCAACCCAAATTATTCTATGATTCTACGATCTTACCCCTTCTCTAACTTTCCCTTATCCTGATCATGGGCGAATGTAGTCAATCAACTAGTCCATGTATTTGCTGTCTGTTTCTTTCTCTGTACCATGGCCCCCAAAGATCTGCTGGGGCTGAGGTCATTGTAGGTTCAAGCCAAGAGCTAGTTGGGAACCTTTTTGATCATGTACTTTCAGTTGTAAACTGCCATCAGATGAAACCAAAACTTTTCATGGAAATGTTTTTGTTTTAACAAAAGCTTTGTTTGAAAGGTTTTTCTGGTCTGGATTGGATGAGGAAGGGTTGGAAGGAGGCAAGAAAATCATAATTTCCCCTTGATATACCTCATTACAAATGAACTTAGCTCAGATGTTCCAAATTGTGGTTGAGTATTCAGTAGCATAAGGACTAAAATTAAGTGGGTCATCATTCCAGGTGAGTATGCCTCCTGCTCGGCAAATTGAGCACTTATAATGATTTTGAAAATAAAATATAATACAAATTTTGTAGCATTTGGGATGCTGAGGAATAGAGATATTATTATTATACATTTTTGTCAGTGTTTCGCCATTTTTTTGTGGCCAATTCCATCCAAATGTGGAAATAGTATTGCTTAAAGGAAGCATAGGGCATAGATAAATCACTACTTTTATATGCCTCTCAGGGACTAAAGAGTCTAAATAAATAAGATTTATGTGTGAGGATTCAGCTAGGGTACTCATAAGGACAAACCTGAATCTGAGCTCTTTCCAGCTTAGGATCAAATCTGTGCGAGGTGCATAGTTCTCTCTCTCTTCCCTTCTTCAACAGGTTCTTAATGCCTGTGGTAACTTAATATGTGGGTACTGCCAGCCAGTGGTTCTTCAGTGAGGAAAGTAGTTGTCCAGTCTGTCAGAAACCCTTCCTATTCCATCCTTATGGTGATCTAGAAAGCTGCTGGAAAATCTGCTAGGTCTGGTTGCCACTTTGCACAGCTCTTGTCCCTCTGTTTAAACCTGACTTGTTTCTGTCAAGGGCCATTCACATGGAAAAATGCCATTTCTGAATCTCAGAATGGAGCAGCCACATGGAGTCAGCCTTTGAGGATCTGCAGAAGCCTGCAAATAGTTTCTTAAACTGGAGCAGAACAGGCAGGGAGGGCTTTTAGCTTGGAGTATGCCAGAAATGGTCTTTACCATCATTAGATATAGGATTGTCTGTTTGAGGAATTGTGGAAGGAAAACGGACTGTTAAAAGTTAGCATTCCTCAGTGCAGTCTGCACAACCTGAGTTAAGGGAGGAACCATCTGTGATCAAAGAACAAATTTAGCTCTCTGCATTAGTCAGAAGGCAGGGTCCTTGAGAGGAAATAGACACACACTGCAAAGCTTTGCTGGAAAGTTACTGGACCCGAGATAAATTGGAGTCCAGTCATGTTGGAGAGGAGGGCTGTACATCTGAGTAAGGCTTATGCTAGTTGTGCTGGCTGCAAAATGCTGGAGTTGAGTTTTGCCTCTCTGTTCTTCCAAGTTCAGAAGAACAAGTCAGCATTTTGTGCCTGCCTAAAGAGGAGCTAAGGGAATAGGCAGGGAAGAAATATCCCTCTGCCAGCTGATGGGAGGTTCCCTTCTGCCAGCTCAGATCCCGTGATTGCTTTGCTGTCCAAGAGCTTGTCAGATGGTAGGTGTTGGGCGTGCTTCACAGACCATGAGGACTTCTGAGGTGGAACTCAGCCACCAAGACCACAGTCCAGAAACAGGATCAAAATATCTTAATTAAAAAGTGTGTGTGTGTAAATAAACAGCATGTCACTTTCTACTGGATCTGAGGAAATACTACAGAAAGAAGGGAAAGTAACAGACAATCTGAACAGCAGATTTCCTTCAATGATGCTCGGGACCTTTCTTATTGGTATCTTCAGAAGTAATTGATTCGCTGTATGCTTGGGAGGCTGGGACTGAGGTCACTCTATATCACTACTGTGCAAGCAGCTGTGTGGGAGAAGGTAGCAAAGAGCAGTCACCTGGGAAATGCTTCTGGACCAGTGATGGTAGAAAACAACAGTCTGCGCAGCCATGAGAAAACTATAACCAGGTAATGACTGAATTAAAAAGGAAATTTAAAGTGCATCTAGTTACAATTAGATTAGAATGCAAAGGAGCTCCACTGGTTCAGTGCTTGGTTTTATTTTTCTTGTTTGGATATCCCCCTTTGGAGCTTTGTAGTGGTTTGCCTTTAATCTTGACAAAAGTTAGTGATAAATCAGGACATCAGTAATGTATTGAGAATACAGAGCTGGTGGTGGCAAGGTTCTCTCCCCAAAAGGTGAGAGATTTGCTCAGTAAGTCTGAGGAATCATCTCTTCATGTAAAAAGCTGCTGGAGTTTCCTTGGAGCTTTTTCTTTTGAAAGACACCTGGCCTAAACCAGTGTGGCTAGAATTGTTACTCAAAACAGTGTACTTGTGAGGCTGAGCAAATACTCTCCATTATGAAACTTGCTGAGTGATGGGATGTTACCTTGTAATGCCCAAGGGCTTCCCAAGTATGTTAGTAACCCACTGTCGCCACCTGCCGTATTATTCCTTCCTCTCTTTTCTGCTCTGTGCAGCATTGTTGTGGCAGGGGTTTGCCTTCCATAGGTATACATGGCTTTATCTGGCAGGCAGTGGGCTGAAGGTGATGCTCTCTTAGTGCCTCACAGTGTGGCTTCCCCATGGAGGTGCATGGGGCCGTGCCCCACTTCGAGGGATCCTCCTGCCTTCTGCACACACCCACCTGGAGCTCCCCACCTCTTTCCAAAGACAGATAGTGCTCATTCACCTCTTTCTCGTTCCCAGCACTGTGCTGTATACAGGCTTACCTGCTCTGGGTGCTAAAGGGGGGTAAGGGTTCTTTCGGATGCCCTCTGGCTTACCCAGGCTGCTGGACGGGATGGCAGCAGTGGAACCTCTGGTGTTTTACACGCACGTGGACGGCTGGGCACAGCTATCATCGAGTTGCGGTTCCGCTGATCATGCCAGGGCAGGTGGCTGGTACCAGGCTGGTGTTCGGAGGCCTTCATATAACTTAGTGTGCTTACACAGTTTCTCGTATTAATGCTCTCTAAAGCCAAGAGGCTGTGCTTTGTGACCCATTTCAATCTCGGCCAGCACCAGCTTTCTCTCCCCCTCTCTTGTCCTTCCCAGCAGCTCTGTTGCATCTTGCAGCCCAGCCTTCCCACCTCCGGGGCTTCCCCCACCTCACCGCTGCCCTCTGAGCTTCTGCCCATCTCGTCTCTCCACAGAGCAAAGTGTGCTGTAGCTGCTGGCGTGCAGAGTACTTGATGTGCAGAACAAGTTGTGCAGTCAACTCATGTGCATGCACAAATCAAAGTCTTCAGCTGGGCAGAGTGGAGAGTGGCAACAGGCTTAGTGCTGCTGGCTGGGAGCTGGAGTTCCCGTTTTCAGCTAATCCCTCTCTGAAATCAGACCAAGCAGCTAGGAGGAAATGTGGCATGCTTTTGAGAGCTCCTGTAATCCCTGAGCTCTCTGTACTCAACACATGGTAGGAACAGGTTTATATTGAGGTAAGAGGCCCTTGCCATGAGCTCCAACTGGTATAGGGTGCGTGTGCCTGTTATCTCATAACACAATCACAGTTCTGCCTTTCCACCAGTTATGAGTTCAGGTCTTTGATTTTAGGCACCTGTTTGATTGTTTGGTTCAAGTGAAAGATTTAATAAACTTGGGCTATCTGTATTGCCTGCACTTTCTCTCTTTCTGGCTGCTCTCTTTCTACATGGCATTATTTTGCTTGCTTGGGGAAACCTCATGACAGTACTTGTATCCTTCCTTTCTTCTTTCTCCTTCCACAGTTCAGTTTAACTTTGTAATTGTTGTTTCTTGCCCCACCAAACCTCTGGATTTCATGACATTCAGCTACTACAACACCAGGTATTTAATATCTGTCATCTCGAGCATATTAGTCAAACTCTTGCATGTGAATCTTAAGAGAGTGTTGGCAGGACTTGCTGTGAGCATGCTCAGAGGGGCTCCTTTGAACCTGCCCTCTGGCAACAGACAACAAGGAGCCCCCTTTGTCATGCCACAGCATTTATTGCCTTTAATGTGGTTCTTGGATTTTACAGGTAGCCTGAGCAGTTTGCCCAATGGAAAAAGACAAGGCCTTAACCCTTTCAGTGAGTATCTTGTCAAAATGGTTCCTTTTTTCTGTGATACCCATGTATTTCAGAATTAATTTTTCCCTGCTCTCTCATGTTCACGAACAGCAATATAGAAACAGATGGAAACCAAAGTTGTTCATAAGAGGTGTGAATATACCAACATGCAGCTCCACTGCATCATCTCCAAGTCCAGCTCTGTGTCTTTAGCTGGAGCAGACAGTACGTTGCTGAGGAATTAGATAGGATACAGCAGCTATGGGATGAATACTCTCCTCTTCTATTCTCCCTCTAGCAAGCAATAATTTAGTTGATTTGTTGTGCTTACATTATATTACTCCATGGACAAGTTTCCATGAAGACACTATACTCTTCATGGTGCAGATCTGCTTTCCTCTGTATTTTCTGGCAGCAAATTGCACCCTTTTATCAGGCATGAACAACATTATTTGCTTTGCTTTTAGGCTTGCTGCCTCATGGTTTCATTGCGTGCTTCTCATTTTGGACTGTAAGAAGCAGTGAGCAGTTCTCCCCTGCCTACTCCCCCACTTGTTCTATAGCCATCCAGTATACATCTGGTTAGGTTCCTTTTTGTGTTGAAAAGACCTAGGCTACGTATTTGCTTAAGGACAGAAGTCTTCCCATACCTCTTGCTGTCCTTACCTTTCTGGGGACCGTATGTGGTCCTGGTTGAGATGGGCTGAATGGAGAACTGAAGATAAAGATCGACTAAACCTTATACACTGATGTAGTGATGTTTCTTGGTGTGTCCTCAGTTCTGAGCATGTATCTGATTTTTGTCTGCCGCTAAAAGCTGAGCAGAGGCATTCAAACAAGTGCGTACTGTGGCTTCAGACTCTTTCCTAGTCACTCAGACCACTCAGTGTAGGACAAGTCATCCCCACTCACACTCTGCGTTGCATTTATGGACATTGAAGGTAATCTACTGTTTTTATGAGCTGCTCACTGAGCACTGCAATTGCTGTTTGCAGAGCTGTGCAGTCAATTTCAAATATGACTATCTGGAGTAATTTTGCATTTGACAGTATTTGCCCCCTGTGGCAGGGCATGTTGATCCCAGTGAGGCCTTTTTTCCCAGTGATGTAACCCTTCTAATTTCTGAAAATCAAGTCCATACTTTTGCTTTCTCTATAGTGTGTTTTCATCTGTAATTAATCCACAGAGCTCTTGCTCTGATCCTGTAAGAGCTTTGATTCTTTAAGAATCTTTGATGAGGGACTTAAAAGCTTTCTGAAGAAAGGCCTCCTTCGAGACCTGCTTGTCTTCTAGGGGAGGAGACACCTGGCTGTGGCCTTTGAGGGAGATGGTGGCAGGGCAACCTGGCAGCAGTGGAATTCTGCATCAGCTGTGGCAACCGGAAGAGCGGAGGGAGACCAGTTGTTTCCCTAGACTGCATGCCCATTTCCAAGGAGGGGGAGGAAAGTGGTGGTTTATATTTAAAAATATGGCAGTCCCTAAGGCTCTGTGTGAATCATTCAGTGTTTTTTTCAGCAAGGCTGTCTCATTAGCCCCTAGTTGTTTTCAGCCTCACAGCTTACTCTGGGATCTCAGCCTTCTGGGACCATGGCTTCAGCAGAGGCTATTCTTTATCTTTATCAGCCATGTTACTTTTGGTTTTAATTTGCCTTTTTTCCTCACTTGTCCTGTTTCTGTTCTCTTTGTCTTTTTCCTCCTTGCCCACCCCACCCTTTCAGTAGGTCGCCTGGTGTAGCAGCAGAAGACGGGAAGGGAAGGCAGGAGCTGACCCAAAGGAAGGAAAGATCCAGTGACAGATGGACAGACACCTTGCTGCTTGTGAGCAAGCATGCAGCATCAGCAACATCCAGCGTAGCAGAAGTGGCACCCAGAATTTTTGCACTTTTTAATAATTGGTTTGGGTTTGGTTTTAATTGCTTTTCAATGCCATAATCTAATACTTTGGAGAGTGGAGAGAAGCAGGATCATGACTTTTTAAAATTGGAACAGCTACTGATGATGTAAAATTGAGTTCACTGGGACTCAAAGACTTTTATATACTGTATATAAATATATATGTAAATTGTACAGTTGTCTTGTACAGGGTTGGAGTCACTGTTCTATTCCTCCCTTTGCTTTTGAAGGCTGTTACGGCTAGAGAGACAGTTTAGCTTTACTGGATTACAGTAATGCATTCATTTCTGCCACCAAACCATCATTCAGTGACAAACCTTAACACTCCCATGCGGAAAGGAGCCAGTGTATCAGCATGACTTGTTCTTGCAGATGTGCACACAGTGTGCCAGATACCAAATGCTTCTTGAGAGCATCTGAACCCCCTTTCTTACTGTAAAGCCTGTGCAACTCACAGGCAATTGGGCTTTTGAGAGCACAGATATCATGTAAGTATTGGTGCACTGCAAAGCTGCTTAAAGTAGGGATAGAAAAGGGTTGTATTAAGGACATATAAAAGTAGTTTCTGCACCTGTTGCAAGTTGGACAGAAACTAATTACAATTGCATTGCTATCCAGGCTCAGATGATATACTTAAGAAAGATGTACCATGCCTCTGGAATCTAACGCTGTAGGAATGATGTGGGAGCTGTAGGTCTAGCAGAGTCAGGGGAAGGAAGCTGTACATCTTCCTCTTTGACTAAGTGTTCATCTATATGTCATACAAGAATAAAAATACTAAGAATCCTGCTAAAAGCAGCATTACCTGCCTGTTGCTTGCCTGAAGAGCAAAGAACATAGTTGTCAATGCAGAAAGACACAATCATGCTGCTGGTCCCCAAGTGTCTGCTTTACTTATGTTTCAACACTACAGCCTGGCCTGTGCTCACTGGTGACTGTCTGTCAGAAATGACTATTCTTGTCCTTGATGACTGTGAATCCAAGCTTCCCTCCTGCACAGTGGTGTGCCTGCCTAGTTTAGAGTATCCACTCTTCCTAATTTGCTGTTACCAGTGTTATCTGTGTAAGATGACACTGGAGTCTGATGAACAATAACAGTGAAGGCTTGGAGTGAGGAGTCTGGTGTTCTTGGAGGCCACAGGGGATTTTTCAACAACTAGAAGTTTTACCAAAGTTGTTTCTTTTGCAGGGGCACCCATATCAGTAGTCCTAGGTTTGGGCAGAGCGTGATGGGACAGTGTTTTGCTTTATGTATTTCCAACCACTGGCAGCACTCACCTGTTCTGAGAAGCCTCCCACTTCAGACCTGGTGACCCTTATGCCACTTGTCTCTGTTAGAAGAAACTGTAGTCAGAGATGATGATATGCCACGCTAATGAGATCACACCAACAATTGCTTGCAACAGCACTGGGTTACTGTAGAGACTGGAGTCATTCTTTGAGTCTATATCCCCGTTGCTTTGGTAAAAGATGTTACAACAAAGCATCTTCACTCTGTGTCATGTCATCATGAGAATAGTATTAGATAAATACATCACAAACAAAAGTGTCCTGATGCAGTAAGTTAGTGATTGTTGGCAAAATGGAAAGTTACAAAAAAAAGAAAAGCAAAAAAATAGTTCTGCAAGTAACTGTTTAAGTGTAGTAATAACTTCTGGGAAGTAGATTGGAGCTAATTAAAACATGTAGCTTGGTTGAAAACACCTCTTGTAATCTCTGAAATATACATCACACCACCATAATATAAAGATGTCGTCTCTCTAGCAAGAGCAGATCCTGCTGCTGGATATTCATGGTTTCTCACATACAATGTATGTGCTTTTCTGGTCTGCAAGCTCCCACCTTCTTGATTGCTTCTTCCCTTTTTTTTTTTCCTTCCTTTTTTTTTAAATGCCCAGGGCATATCTTTTGTGTGTTGAAATAATTTGGTTTACTGTATAGTTAGAAATGTCCTTGTCACACTCACTAATTCTATTGTAGGAGTAAAGAATGAATCCAATGTACAAAAAAAACCCCTTTCCTTTTAAATATGCTAGTTTTAGGAATTTAAAGATCTGGCTGCTGGGTTGGTTGGTGTTTGGTGGTTTGGGGTTTTGGGGTCTTTTGGGGGGGGTGGGGTTTTTTTTGTTTGTTTGTGTGTTTGTTTTTTAATGTATAGTTGCATCAGCAGAAGCAACCAATTGGATGCCTATAGGAGTTGTGTCAGCCAGGCACTGGGGCTGGGCAATGCCCCACAGGACTGTGGGGGGACTACAGAACTGCTAAAACTCACTGCATCTTTTCTTCTGGAAATGTAAATAAATCACCCAGCCAACACTCCTACCTGTCACATAAATTCTTCTGCTGACTTCCTTTTTTCTCATCCTTGTGTCCTTCCCCTCCAAGAGGCCTGCATTCACATAAAGTTCGCAATTAAAATTGGGTCAGTTCTTCAAGGAAGCCAGACAAGGGGTGGCTGTTGATTAGCTCTGGCATTAGTGGGTGTTCATGTTGCTATGCTAGAGCTGACTCTATGGATGGATTGGGGACCAAGCATTATATTGCTCCCCTTTTACAAGACAAGTCCAAGTCCCTGCATCCTGATCTGTGTGGGTCTCTGAGCAGCTTCTGGTAATACTTGTACACTGCCATGGAAGATCCAAAAAGCATGATTGTGTAATGTCCAAGTAGATGTTAGGTTACTTGTTCTGATTTTGTGTTGGAGGATCATGCAGACAGTACTGGTCTTGATTAATACAACCCATGCTATGAGCTGTCCAAACACTGTATTCATCAGAAGAGCCTCAGCTGCCTGCTTCCCCTGTTGCTTTCATTGCCAAAAACCTGGCCAGTCCATGTGGCTGCCAGGCCAAATGTGTCCTTATCTGGTGGTGGTAAGCATTCTTCTGCTCTGCCTTGCATCAGTAGCATTTTACTGAAGCTGGGACATGGGGAGTGTCAGTGTTGTGTCTGGAAGCAGACACTGTGCAGGTGTCTCCTCAAGTTTCAAGTCTTCCTGGGCCTCTCCTGCTCTACTTTGAATGACAGCTGAAAACAGCAGAGAAGAGAACCAAGACCCCACAGTGCAAGTCATCTGTTCCTCCTACCAAAAGATAAAAATCTTTCCTTTTTTGCTGATCCTCCAAGGGCATAGTATGTTGGAGGAAACTGCATTATGGTGGGATTCACATGTGTGAAGGCACTGCTTTCCATGGCTTGAGTTTATATTGAACTTACCCTGCCCCAGCACATTTTTGCCTATGGCATCATTTGTTAAACTGAAAGGCATCTGTTTAGTTTTGGTTTTGTAATAAAATAGATAACTTTTACTCCAGTGTCTTGTGGTGGTTTCTTGTTCAATCTTGATTCCCAGAACTTCTCTCTTCTACATAATATTCTGTTACCCTTGCAGTCCTTAGGAGAGGGAAGGAGACTTTCCTCTTTGCAGAATCAAGTGTCAATCTATGGTTGGGTTCTGCAGTCTGTGATGTTTCTCTCTTGTGTGTAAGCCTTTGGGCTGAATTAAAACATGCTCCAGAGTGTGTCTCTGTGTTCGATGACAGTTGTCTGATCTATGCAGGCTGCTTAGAAAGACTGTGAAGCTTCAGCAGGAGTGTAGAGATGATTGGAGAAGGTGGAACCCACAGCCAGGTGGGATCTTGTAGCACCATCTCCCCAAACCCAGTGCAGCAGTCAGGCCCTGCACTTTACATGTCCTTGTACCTCCCTTTCATAAGAGCTTTCATACTTTACTTTTGCAGGTCATCCCTCACTATATAGGAGCCTGAAATAGCTGTTGTCCATAACCTTGTAATCCTCAGAGATGACAAGTAACAAGCCATGCTAGAATACTGTGTTATTGTAAAACATGCTTTTTCCTAGGCCACAAAGAAGTGTCATTCATCAGAGGCTGCAGCACCCGGCCCATGACAGAGGAGGCCACACACTGTTTGCTTCAAGTGCATTTGACCAGCTTTCTCATCATGTCTCTGTCTTCACTTGTTTACATGTAGCTCTCTTGCAATGAATAAGGAGACGTTAATTGCACATCAAAAGGGAGGCAAGTGCAATCCCAAAGAAGGTTTTCTGCTTGTATGGTAGTCAACAGGCTGAATTGCTTGCAGATGGTCAGAGAGAGCCATGACAAGATTCTTGTCTTTAGGTGCAAGTTCAATGATAAAAGAAGAAAATGCAGGTATGAGTGACACCCAGTGTGTATCTGTCAAGAACAAACTGACAAACCAAGCTACTTTCCTTGTATTACCAAGATAGCAAGTTTTTGGACTAAGGGAAGAGCAGGAGTTGTCATCTCTGGAGTTCTGCAAGACTTAATTAAAAATAGGGAAAGGGTATTTTAAAAAAAACCCAAAAGGCCAGTTCTTTGGCCATGCTTCCTGTTTCTGGGGTCAATGTAAGGTAGTCTGAGAGGCCTTCACCCTTCCCTGGCAGTGCAGTCATTCTGTAAGCAAGTCAAAAGGGCTATAAAGGGCTTGCTTCTGCCTCTGCTTCCAACAGTGATATGTCCAGAAGACTTTTCTTCCTCCTTCTTCTGCCTCCTTTCTCCTTATCTTTGACATAAGTAACAAAATCCACATGCAGAACATCGACCTTCTGACTTCTCAGCAGGCAGCCCTTACAAGCCATTTCAAGCAAAATAACCTGGCAACTGTTCAAAAGCTGTTATTAAATTGGACAGCAGGATCTGCAGAAGTGATGCTCCTTAGTTTGGAAAACACCTTGAAAACAAAGTGAGTTAAGAAATGCTACCTCAGGAACTAAGAGTATAACAGCAAGTGTTTTGTATGGAGTGTTTGCCAGAAAACCTGATACTGGCTACTTGGGGAAGCAGTTATGCTTTTTGTCCTTCTCTATCTGAGAACCTGCTTACTGATTTTAATGGTGGCTTTTGTTTTTCAAAGGAGCCTTGCCTGTGCACACCATGAAGTGTCCAGCTTTCATTCAGAAAGCACCACCAGCTCTGTGCTGTGTGTTTTATCACAAACATATACCCCCATCTCCTGCAAAAGCATAAATGAACATTTATTCCACATTATGTTTTCTTTCAACACATTGGGACTGGACTGGTCTTCTGGCTCTCAGCCAAGGCAGAGGACCTGAGACCCTGCTGTGTACTTAGCCAGCCTGCACCCCCAGACAAGGCAGTGGTGATGGGTGGCTCTCCGCTCCCTGCCTGGGCTAGACCTGCACTGTGCTGCAGGCAGAGAGGTGCACAGGGTGTACATTGAGTGATGAGGGAGGCAGCAGGTTGTGGCTCCTGGAGACTGAGGTTTCCACACCTTCCCTTGTCTCTGGTGCCAGCAGGAATAGCTCAGGTTTCATGCATACAACTCACGATTAGGTGGCCATTGTTTGGAGTTCAGAGTAGCAACATCTGGGAGTCTGAAGTACAGACGAATTCAACTCACTAAAACAGAGAAATTCAGTCCCAGTACAAGGCAGATCCTTAACTCGTTGCTTTTTGGTTGTGAATGAAGGACTCACTTTGGTAAAACACGTTCTTCTGTAGCACTTCAGAGCTGTGCTTCAAGCACTTAAAAACTGCAGAGTTTGAATGTCCAGTATCCCATTACACAGTTCAGCTCTGGCCTTGCACAGCACAAAGTGTCACTGCTATCTCCTTCAGTCATGATTTTGGCAGGGACCATGGAAGTGATCCCTGCTGATTTCACCATGTCAGAAAAGAGTTGACACAGCATTTGGCTGAAGAGAGGGAGCTATTTCTGAAGTGACTTGGATGTTCCCACTATGAACTGGCACATTGCATCAGACAAAGCTGTATGAAGGTGACTGAAGCTGTATTTGTTCACCTGCAGCCCAACATGAATGTGAATTTTTGCATCTCTTGAACTGTTACAATTGTTTCCAGTGTTCAAATGTCTGCTGCAAGCTTTTTCTCCTCAAAACGTACTTGAATACCAGAGCTTTGTAAAATGAGTTAATCTAAAGTATTTAGACTCCAAAAAACCAAGATACCAAATATAAGTGCATTCAGAAAACAGGTGTCCAGGATCTGTGAAGAGATTCCTAAAGTATAAAACAGATCTGGGGACTGACAAAAGAACTAGGGTCAAAATCCCAGTAAGAAACTATCCTGCTCCAAGGGAAATGAAAGGAGCCTAAGTAGAGACCAATAAAGTGGATCAAGAGCTCTTCAACAGTCTGAAGCATGAGAAGGGAAAATATGAACTGTAGGATGAATGTTGGAGCATTTCAGACTTCATGTGAGCTGCCGGGGATTTAAGGATGCCATGGCAACATCACCTAGCTGAAGAAACACCTAGAGAATTACAGACCTGATATCTGTATGTGAAAACTTAAAAGAGCAAGCTACTGACCAGTTATTCTCCAATACCCTACATAGATTTATAAGTTTGTAAATAAATGGCAGGAATGGGCTTGTTGAGGTTTCACTGAGGACAAATCGTTTCAAACTAATTTGATTCCATTCTTTGACAGGATAACGAGCCTTGTGGCTAGGGGGGTCAGCACTAGATGTGATATGTCTTGACTTTGGAAAGGCTTCTGGCACTGTCCCAGAAGACATTCTTGTAAGCAAGCTGAGGAAATGCAACCTCTTTAGATTCACAATACGTTGAGTGCAGTGTCAAAGTCAGAGAGCCCTCTGGGGAAATCTTTCCAGTGATTGTCCAGCATCCAAGTCTATTCGGTATTTTCAGCAGCAACTTTTGGAAATTGTTTTGCTAAATATTTTCCTGGTGATATCTAACTTAGGGGGTGAGGTTTTGGGGGGTTTGGGGAGTGTCTGTCAGCACCTATGGAGGGTAGGACCAGAATGCTTGATAGGTTGAAGAAATAATCCAAGTCAACAGGATGAGTTTCAGCAGAGGCATGGGATGACCTGCCATAAGGCAGCTGTCTGAATGCACAAACACAAAGCAAGACCCACCAGGCAGCAATTCCGTAGAAATGACTTCTCAGAAGCTGGAAAAGGAGAAAGTGGAGAACCTTAAGGGCAATGCCATGTACAAAATCTTCTTACCGTAAGGATAGCAACGAGTTGTTTTTATGCCCTAGTCAATAAAACAAGAAAAAAAAAATTAAGAGTGCTAACCCCCCCACCCCCACATACCACATTTGGGTTTGCTGCTAGTTTCTATGAAGATGCTCCACAAGAAGAGGAGGCAATCAAATTTCTTTTGGTAGCTTTTTTAAGACCTTTTAAGACCTTTTTAAGACCATTTAAGACTTTTTAAAGTGTTAATAGAGACACTCAGGTGCTCTGTACAATATGCCTTAGTGCCAAGGATTTGCCACAGGAACTTTCTGAGAGCCTCTGAAGCTTTTGTGTTGAGATTTTTTCCCCCGTTCCCCCAGGTTGTACATTTATAACCTCTATCTTACACTCTAAAAAAAAAAATCTTTGAAACGGGTATGAAATCTAGGTGAATTGAAGAAATAAATCATTCGAACAAAGTACTTCCTAGGCCTGTGGGGATTTTTATTGCATTCTTGAAACTGGGCCATGCCCAGCAATGAGTAGTAGGTGGGTCGTGAGTTTTCCTTTAGGCACAGCTCCCACTCAGCTTGCCATGTACATGGCAATAGCAATGGTACAGTCTGGAACATGGGTGAATGCTTACATTTAGATGCAGTGGGAACATCTGCTGAGCTCATCCACCTCACATCATGCCTGTAGGCTCCATGTCTAAGCTCAAATTACCACCCCAGGCCACATGCGGGGAAGTGCTGGGTTTCCAAACGCAATGTGGGAAAGGGGCCAAGGGTTTCTGCTGCTGGCAGGGATGCCCCATGGATCTAGGGGGCTGGTCTGCCCCTGCCACCCACACGCCTCTGGGCAAAACACAGACCCCCTGGGTGAAAGGAAGGGAGGGAGGAGGGGTAAATCTACTCATGGTGGTAATTATCTACATATTTTAAATGACTTATTTAGATACCGGAGGTACTTAATCCCCTCCTGCTATAGAGGCAGGTTGGGAGTGCTGTCTTCTCTGCTGGGCTCTAAGTAGCACTGGCACACATAACTCTATTATTAGCAAGCTGGCTGCTCCTGGCACATGCACATGGATGACAACGGTCATTAAAAACATTTTTTTTCCATGTAATACTACAAAGGTTATTCTTGGTGACAAGTGCTTTCCAGCTTGTGGCCAGGGCTGAGCAACTTCTGTTCCCATTTGTGCAGGCTGGGTCCTACATCAAGGTCAGGTTTGCAACAGCTTCCTGGCAGAATTAACAAAAAAAAAGTTTTTGGTTTTTTTTTTTTTTTTTCCCTCGGGAGAAAGAAAGCAATTCCAGGTGAATGATACAAGGAATGACCTGCTGCCAC